TTAACAATAGTTATTCTTGATCAGATAGAAAAATGAAGTGGATTTCCGATGATCAGTTCGATTTAATCATACTAAATTGATGTGAAAAATGTTCACATCAACTGTTATTGTTAATAGTTAGATATATTTTAGGAGTAAAATGATTTATACAGTAACTGACTAAAGTTTTAGGCCTACATATATTGACTAGTACTTATGACTATATTGGTTGATTATATTTTTAATATATAACCTGAAAATGAAAATTTCATTTACAATTATATTGAAATGTGTCAACGAGTAAAATATGTTTATATTAAAAGATTAGTTCATTAACAAATAATTCATAAGAAATTATAAATTCTTCGTTATAAATTATAGGTTAAAAAAAGATTCGCATTCACGACATCAGCAATGATAAATGAATAAAGTAAATTATTATCATACGGAAAAAAATACATAAAAATTGATTATACAATTAAGTTTATGCAAAAGCTGACATAGAAATAATAATTATTAAACATTAGTTTATTTTCAATGATATGGATGTCGAATATTCAAAGTTAACGGGAAACTTTCAGAATTAATGTTGATTGCTCACAAGGCAAAAAGATCGAAGGGTAAAATTTCGAAGAAGATAAAATTTGAAAAATGAAAATTCAGAAAAAAAAAGAATCTCGAATCTGCAAAATCACGAAATGTCAGAACCCAGAACCAAAAATATCGCAAGTATAAAAAAGAAAAGTAATTCGAATAGTTGATAAATACGTGATTTATTAATCATAAATTTGCTGAAGAATAATAAGAATTTAGGAATTAAGAGTGTGAGTACGGATGTCGAGTGCGAATCAATTGCTGACTCCTAATCAGTCTCATTCATGTCCCATTTACATAGAAGATTGAATATAACAGCGAAGTATAAAATAGAAAAAGATCTAAAAGAATGGTTTATCAGTTTGCAACGCTCGTTTGGATCGTTCCAATAAAGGTAGATGACTTTCATTAATAAGTTTTTATTATGGACTGTTATACAAACTTTTGAGATTTTCGATATTTAACCTGGCGAGATTTTCTACTTCGACTTTCTACACGTTGAGCTTTCAGTCATTCGAGATTTTGTTTTTGAACTTTTTCTAGTCGAGATCTTGGGTTTTGAGATTGTTATTTTTGGAATTTTTTCCTGATATTTTGTCTTTCGATCTTATGTTTCTGCAGCAATTAATATTCTCCCAAAATTGAAATGTTGCTGCTGAATTTTCTCATCGTATATTTATATTGAATAATCAACTCATATAAATTTATTTTCAAAAATCTAAAATTTAAATAACTTCTTATGTAATAAAATACGTCTTTATTCAATATGGTCGAGTCACAAAAAAGAATATACCCACACCGACAATATCATTTCAGCAAAAGAAACATATTTGATTGATGCACTGAATTATTATCTTATATTCTTTGACATCAAGTATATTGAAAGAATGATCATTATTTAAATGTACATTTTCATAATTGGAATAGAAGTATAAATTATATTATTGAATAAAAATTTTGCTCAAGAGTTACATTTATTGGTTGACAAGCATTTAAACATGTATTAGACAATATCAAAGTATTGTCATAACTTTTTAAGAAATTGAGACAATTAGTTTATATGTGGAGGGAGTACATTTAAGATATAAATATATATTAACATTCCTTCTCATATATTTAAGTTGTTATTGTCTTTTTGCTTTTGTGTATCAGAGATTCGCGAAGGAGCCGAAAAATTGTGTCGCCAACATCTTGCCCACCCTTTTCTTAAGATATTCTCCTCGCCTTGCTTCATCAATGAACTAGTGTAAACAACGTGTTAGCACAACTTCATTGAAGTTGAGATGTAAAAGTCACATGTGTTCTTTCATTTCATTATAACTAATACGAAATGCGCAGAGCGAAAAATCTCTCGTAGACTATAGTTGTTGTTTTTCGAGACAATCGATCATCATCAGAGAAACGATTTTTGTTACTTTTTTCTGAATTTCCTTTTCACCAGCACTCTATTTTTTGTTTGCCTTTTGCTATTCGCTCGTTATTTACTATTTCGTATTTCTTAATTGAACATTGTTATTATTTTAAGATTTAAATTAACTGACAAAAAAGCTAATTAGACAAATCCATTATATCGACAGGAGTAGGTTGTCACGCAAAATTATATATCTCGATAAGATCAGAAACAATAATATTGATTATTTCACAAAATTATAACTTGATCATTTTCATTCTTTTTAAATTGATCATATCAGGACTATGACAAGTCAATATTTCGAGGAAGATATTAGAGTATCCTATAATAATCTGAGATAGTGTAAGTCTTGTTGTTGTTGATGTTGTGCAGCTCCTTTTTTCTGTTGGTAAGGAATTCTGTCAAAATGATTGTGAAGTCTGTTGTCCTCTATTGCTAAAGTCTGTAATGAGAAGGGAGAAACTTCGATTTAAAACTTCACTCACTATTTTCTTCGAAAAAATACGTGAGTTGAACAAAACGAATATTGTTTTATGCACTTTTTCAACCACATGTATACAAGTACTATTCCTTTTACTTCATATAAGATGACATAGTTTAGGGTTTCTAACAAAAAGAAGTATTTATTAAATGAATATGTTATAGCTGAATTTCTTTTCCATTCAAGTATAATAAGTTCATTTCATTGTTAAATCTTCAATATCAATCTCTTGTATTTCATCATCGGATGATTTCGTCGTCGTCTTCCATGCTCCTTGTTTTATATAGATTGTTTCAAATTTTGCTAAAGCTCTTGATTGATATCGACGAAATGCTTTAATTGGTCCATCAGCTGATACAATTTTACCTAATGGTTTGGCACCCATTTGAACTATATTACGGTGAATTCCATTAAGTAAAAGTAAATCTTGATCAATAATTTTCTTATTCATTTTTGCAGCCACATAATCATAACCAGGTATATATTCAATCCATTTATAACAAGCAAAATTACGATAGAATTGTAATAAGAGACGCATTTTATTTTCTGCACTTGGTATCATAAAAAATATTTGAATGAATAATCGTCCTTTCTTAGTGTCATTATGATCCAAACGACCAAAACATGGTGGAATAAAATGAAAGTTACTGAAGTCAGTCCATGAAAGTGGTGAAGATTGTTCATGTCGTGTTACTTTGAATGAAGTTGATTCACTATTTGTTGAGAAATAAGGTGAAGGTATAATGCGTTCAGATCGAATACAAGATGCTTGTGATCGTTTACCGATAGTTCCATCATGTGTAAAATCAACATGAGCCATATCAAGTAAATTATCTACCATTAAATCATAGGGAATATCAAGATAACATGAATCTTCTGGAGATAATAAAAATTCACCATTTATATTCTGAACATCAGTAAAAAGACGATGTGGAATTAAATCACTATTAGCTAATTCTCTTTTTCCTGGCCACACCCAAATAAATCCATATTGTTCATGAACAGGTAATGTTCGAGCACATATTAATGAAGCTGTATTTGATTTTTTCGATACTGATGGAATATAAACACATTGACCATTAGCACCATATTGCCATCCATGATAAATGCATTCGAGATTACCTTCTTTTGTTATTTGACCTAAACTAAGTGGAGCTGATCGATGTGGACAACAATCTAATACACATATGATTTGACCATCATTAGTTCGATATAAACATAAAGGTTCATTAAGTAAGTGAAAACCAAATGGTCGACCTGAACCACATAATATTTCATTTGAAAATGCAACAGGATACCAATACAATGAATGATCTAATGGATCGTATGAAGAAGTTGATAATGACGAGGATTTTGTAGATGGATATGATTGTATTCGACGACGAGCAGCATCACGTTTTTTTACTCGATTATACTGTCGAAGAACGAGGCATGAAAATACACCAATAATAACAGTTGTTGATAGAGAAAGAATAGCGACAAACATCTTGCGTATGAATAAAAAATAAAATCTAACAGGACTTCTTTTTCAAGGTTGTAGAGAGTAACTATATATACACAAAGAGTAAGCAATGGTTATATAACCAACGTACTTAATATGTTTTGGAAGAACGAAAGACTATAAATGATTATGACATTTTCTATAAGTCCAAAGAACAGTAGAACATGTTCACATAACCTTATCAAAAGAATAACATAAAACTTCATTGAAAATACTTCATTAGTGTCTGTTTTTATTTAAATTGTTTTTTACAACTTTAGCTCAATAATATTTATTTATAACAGAAGCAAAAATAATTTTACTAGTATTCAAATATTTTTAATAAAGCTGCTAAATTATTGCATTGATGAATTTTATCATCAAAATAATAATGATTAATATTTTAAAGAAAACATGAGAATTTCGTTGTTCTGTAACTATTTGTATTTATTTATAGATTTACAATGGTTTGGAAAATGAAAAGGTTTTATGATATAAAAAAAAATGTTTCACCATAACAATATTTAAAAACAAAAAAAAACGTTTCTTTTGATTCGCTGAATCATATTTTTTGCTTATTATCAGTTACACAAGAAATGAATGTGTTTTCTGACTTTCTAACACAATAAAATTCTTTGATAATCAAATAATGCTAAACTATTTATGACAGTAGAAAAACATGCAATAAAAAACATAGATATAGAAGTATAGAATTAACATTGATTTATTTAATAAATATATACAATCACACAATACAAAATCTGTAAACAAAAATAGATAGAAAATCAATAGTTACATAAATAGTTATATATAGATGTACATAAAAACCAGGACTAACATATCTTTAAAATACATTGTTTGTAGCATCATCAGTTGACTTTTGAAATTCAATTTCCATCATCTTTTGGTTACCGGTATTTGAAAATGACAAAAACCAACTTGTTACTAAATCGGATTTGTTCCACTTTGCATGGAATTCAATAGAAAGAGATATAGTAAAGACCCCCCTAAAAAAATAAATATATTATTTTGATGATTTAAATGTTTTATTTGTTTTACCATCCAATTCTAGTTAATCGAAATGGGGCTTTATCAAGAATAATTTGTGATGGTCTAAATGTTGGATGTAAATTGATTATAATCTGTTTAATAAATTGAGTAATTTCATTTTGATCATCATTCTCAAATTTAATAAATAATGTCCATTCATGTCGTGTATGATCAGAATCACGTAATAATAATTGATGAGTATTTCCAATAATTAAACGTTTTTTAATTATATTTTTTCTTTCATTCTCAGTTTCATTTCGTCGTATTTCATATTCTTTTTCATATACGTGTCGAAAAAGATTATGAAGAATTGAATTTGCTTTTAAATGATTAGAATTTGAACGAAGATAAGTTAAATCTTCGCGACAAATTGGACATCGTAATACATGATTTGATGTTAAAATAAAATGTTGTAGACATAATAAACAAAATGTGTGACCACATAATGTTGATACCGGTTCAAAAAGAAGTTTTAAACAAAATGGACAGTTTCGATACGTCTCTAAAACATCATGACTCATCTAAAACATAATATATAAACAAGAGAAAAATAAATATTGACTTTGTACTACTGTAATGTATTTTTCTATAAACAAAAAAACATCAATAAAGTGACAGAGAGAAGCAAAAAGCAACTGTGGGAAATAAAAACATTTTTTTTTCAAACTATTCAATAGCATGAAGGTTTTTTACAATATGAAAAATTCGAGACTGAGAATTATTGTAAAGAATTGAATCGATGAAAAAGAAATATTTGTTTTCTTTTACAATAAATATACGTTGTTATTTTAAGGACTAAACGAGATAAGTTTATTCCACGAAAATTGAAAAGTTGCGTGAATATTTGATGACACATAGAGATAACAATGATGTTTATACGATCAGAATGGACGAGACAAACACTTTAACATTAAAAAAAATCAATGAGCTCCATTATCATCCGAAGAAGAAAAATTGACAGACGCATTGATCGCTTTCGAGAATATTTTATCAATGATTAGTTAAGCAACAACGAAAATTATTTATATTTCTAATCATTAATGTCCAGAGCATTTTCTCGTGCTCATAGTTTTCTTAAAAATAAACTATCTAAAAAAAACAATCAATTCATCAAATATTGTTCATTCTGAAATTACAAAAATAAAAGTTTATAACACACAATTATCACAGTCTGAAGTTCTAGAAAAAGTCAATTCATTTGCTACTAATGAAAATACTGAAATATTATATGAAAGAAAGAGGAAAAATGGTTAATTAACTAGTTGGAAGAGCATCATTAACTTAATTATCATTTTGTTTTGATAATTTTGTTTATTGCCCAATATGGTCTTGGGCATGATAACGTTGTTGCTTTCGACGATATTCATCTGGATCTATATCTTCTGTGTTAAATTCTTGTTGACGTTGACCAGCTGCTGTTTTATTATGCCTCGCCTGAAAAACATTGATTCTTTTAGCAAAATAGAACAAGATATTTTTTTGTCTCAATAATAAATTTTAATTATTTCTTTTTATTTCCTAGAACATCACGAAAGAGATTAGAAAAGAAAAGAAAAGTTTTTTTTTTTTGTTTCGTTTAGAGTTATTCGTAGATGAAAGTAAAAATTGTGAAACAATCGGAATGATCTGAAATAAACTATTTGTTAAATAATGATCATCATCAACTTCAACTAGTTGAATTAATTGTTTATCTTTTTGTTCCTTAACAAAATTTCGACTAGCTTCAATTGGTACAATATGATCAAGTTTTCCATGTGCTATTGATGTTGGACATTATACTTGTGAATATAGTGAATGATTTTGTGTTATATCATCAGAGAAAACATAGTGTAATTGATGACCATTATATAAATATAATTCAGATGATTTTCAACTAGATAAGTTGTCATGAGATAAAAATTCATGCCAACGTGCAGCTAAACCAAACGCTGGGCATAGAAGAAATAAATTTTTCATACGATCAGAATGAAGTTCAGCATAACGTGCAGTAATATAACCACCTAAAATAGAATTCTATTGATTTTGATTTAAATTAAATATAATTATTTTACCCATGCCTGCATCGAACAAATTCATTTTGATTTGTTCATTTTGTATATTGTTTTGTTTTTGTTTTTCATCATATAATTTATCAATAACTTTGATTGCATTCGAGACGGAAAATTCATTAAATGATGGTTAATTCAAATTCTGTTGTTTAACAAGAACATGAAAAAGTGATGCTATACATTTTGCTATTTGATCACTATCACCTACACAACCTCCGTCATGAGTGAATCCATGTAAAAAAAAAAACAAAGATTTCTAATGCTGAGATCATTGTTGTAGAATTATTTAGTTGAATTTATTCAAAAAAATTCTTTTGTATTAAGAAAAACAGAACAAAAATGCGAGAAGATGTGTAAAATAAATTAAACAAACTGAAATACCGTGTCGGCTGTAGTTCTAACTTTCGGTTGATAATTTTCTTGGCTATTCGGACGACGACAACAATCAAAACATGCACCCATTTACAAAAGTGAAGCTGCGATTGTATAAAGATAGTTCGAAAGTTTTCTTCTTCTGGACAGTTGTTATGCTATGACGATGATGCATATGAATCATTCTCTCAACAACTTCAACTTATGACGATAAGAATTGACCAACAATTCGGACAAGTGCGACATCTATCGAAATTTATTCAAAGATTTTAATGGTTACGTTATTTGTTATAGTTAAATAATTATTATATATTATGAATAATCTTTTTTTATTTGTTTTTCCTCGACTTTATCTATACTTCCAGGTATATTTTCGGTTCACGATGATTTTATGCGAGAGACTGTCTGTGTCAACAAAACCTTTTTTTTTTTTATTTCTCGTAGATTTTCGTTTTCTTCAAGCAGACAAAAAAAATTGTCTTGCATTGTAGACTTTTACTATTGATTCTCTTGTTTTTTTCAAAAGCAAAAATTAAAACATGTATCTATATGTGAAACAAATATTATATCTGAAAAGCCTTTTTTTCATGTTAGTTAAACAATAAAATCTTTGAATGACGAACGAAATTCTATTGTTTTGTACCTAAAATAAGTTAATTTATCTGTTTGAACTTAATAACGTTGAAATATATTTAGTATTCATCTAAATCATATATAATTATTTGCATGAATAATAATGGCAACATCGCAATGGATCAGAAAGCAATTACGGCTTCTCGTACATGAAATTATAAACTTCTTTCCTTTTCTTTAGCTCACAGACATAGAAGAAAGTATAAATTATTCATCAAAATTGAAAAACTAATCGTAATAAAATCATAGAGCGAAGCAACGAAACTGGTACACTGACATAAAGGGAAAAAAATAACTGCGTAGTGAGTCAATAAAAAAAAAAACACTCAACAGGAATTTTGAAAGAGAGCATATAAATACAAATACACAGTCAAAATAAGAGAGTGCAAGACAGAACATGAAAAAAACAGCAGCATCGAATTTCAGCGATTTATATTTGGCATGTTGCAATGGTGACATAGCTGTAGTCGAACGTTTATTGCCAGTTACTCCATTGAAAGTTCTCAATTATGTAGAACCAGATGGAAATACTTGTCTTCATGCTGCTTCTTCTCGTGGTTATAATAATATTATTACACTTCTTCTAAGACATGGAGCATCGCGTCGTGTACAAGATCGGAATGGTCGTTCACCTTTAGAAATAGCAAGAACAGGAGATGTTGCAAAACTTTTTGCTCGTCCGGTAGAAGCAGCAGAAAAACGCTTTAGTGCTAGTCCAGCTCAGCAACCTGAATGGCAATTCGAGAACGATCGTGCTGAATCATTTTCACGTGCTATTCATTGGGGATGTATTAAAGATCGTGGTATAAAAAAAACAGTTGAAAAAATTCGAAAAGCAGGGATGTTAGACAATGATGGAGAGGAATCAACTGGAATTGTACAAGATTATTTTAACAATGCATTACAAGAAAAGAACCCAATATACTTACTTACAGCTTATACCGTTGAAAATAAATTTTATAAACTACTTAATCGCGAAATGGCTACTGGAAATAGTCGACAAGTGTTTGAAAAATTACGTGGAAAATGGACTGGTTATTATACAGGTATTATTGCGAGAAATTCTGCATTTGATAATTTTCGTTTTTCGGGACAAACATATCGAGGAATGGAAATAACTCAATCTGATTTTGCACAATATAAAATTGGTACTGCATTATCAAATAAATCATTTCAGTCAACATCTAAATCATGGACAATTGCTAAAGGCTTTGCTTGTCCATCACAACCAAGACCTGGAAGATTACCTGTAGTTATTATTTTTACAATAACCGATCGAAGATCTGCATTGAGCATTGACGCTATATCATACTATCAAAATGAAGAAGAAGTTTTGGTTTTGCCCGGTACTTTATTTATAGTATCTAATATCAATCAAGATGAATTTCCTTATGAAGTTGAATTAGAACAACTTGAATGGAAGAACGAATTTTGATCGTTTATAAAAACTGAATGTATTTTTATATATTTGTCATTTTTCTTGAAAATTTCATTTTCATGTAACGCATTGATTTAGTTTACAAAAAAAAAAAAAACTTCTGTGAAAATGAAACTATTTTTTAACAACTTATTTTAAAATAATTTAACTTTATAGAAAGAATTCTTTTTATTCTAGAAAAGTCTAAAGATTTATAGTAGAAAAGTATTTGATTAGAAATATTATATTGTATTAAAGATAAATGGTGAAAAAAACATAAGTAAGCAGGAAAAAAAAAGTGCATGTAGCAAATGACATGGTTATCGATGTTCTTTATCAACCAAAGAAAGGTATGCCCATAAACATTGTCTCAATGTCATTATAGAAAAAAAAGGGCATAGTTTGCAATAATATAATTTCAGGTAAATCATGCTGACAAAATTTTATGTTATTTTCTTTTGTGTAAATAGCTATTAAAAGTCTACTATAGATATACATTGAATATTGTGTTTCGAAAAATGTTACTATAAAGATTTTTACTTAAATAAAAAAGAAAATTATGAATCTAGTCAATCTTAACTTATCTGATATTTTGTGATTATATAATGATGTAATATATTAAACAGATAGTGAAACTGGATTAATGAAAAAGTTGCAAAAAAAATATGTATGCAAAATGGTGTGACATAAGTTTTCAAATTTATATATTACACATAGATGAAAACATTTGTATACAGCAAAGTAATGCTTTTACTGTCTATCAAGCACTCTAATTACCAATTCCAAAAGTGCTGTTCCCGATATTTGTGTCTAATGAAAGTTATTCAATGTTATCATCTTCTTCTATATTGATATCCACAGCTGCAAAGATATATTCTTTTTTTCCTTGACTTCTCCATTATTTTTTGCATTTTTAATAGGATTTATGGATTCAGTTGACACAGGATCATTATTAATAAGCTATTCTAGCAACAATGAGTAAGTATATATCTTTTTCTGGCCATGTCATTTGACAATCGTTATGCTCAACATCATATCTAGTGGACATTCAGTTTATAAATCAATCTCGATTTCATTTATAACAATATGTATAAGAAAATTTTCAAAAAAGAAAAATCGAAGAAAATACGCCACAGTGATGTAATACCTTCAAGATAAGATAAATATCACAGATGCATAAAACGAGTCATGGCTTCTATTTGTTAATAGCTATCGACTTGTAAAATAGGGTTAATTATAGTGAGTTGAGACTCCTATAAGACCATTACTATAATACATAATAAATATTTTTTATTGAATGCAAAAAAAGAAAAACACCAAAAAGAAATCCAAGTTAGAAATAATTAAAATTTCAACGCAAATTAGAGACTCAAAAGACTATAGTATTTTGTGTATCTACTATATGATAATTATTAACTCCATGAATAACAAACATCAGTTGAGTCTAATTATCAAGATTATTAATTAGATTAAATATTTCAAATACTTTAGGATTTTCATATTAAGTGAATGCATCATAATCATATTCAATAAACTATAATTTATTTACTGAATAAGCCATTTGTCTCATATCAAATATTCCATGATGATTAACAAAACTATTCAATATTTAGATTCTCATTGAATAAGATTTTTAGAAGTTTTCTGATGAGTTTTATTGATCACTTGCAAATGACACAGTCATGATTGCAATATTAGATTCCATCATATTGTATAGTACAACAAAATGATGCAGTCTGCTATTATTTTTTAGATTACAAAAAGTATTTTTAGGACGTATAATATTTATTATTAATTCGTAGAATACAATATTCTGGCTATGATAAAATTATATGTTTAAATCATAGAGTATTCCATAATGATACAATATCAGTTCAAAAGGATAAAAGAAACATCTAAACTTCAATTTTATACGATATGCTGCTGTAGTTTGCTTCTATTCTAATTACTATTTGACGTGATTAATATATAAAGTTACTGTTTGCATAGATATTATTATAAGAATATATACTTCAACACTTACATATCGCAAATTTTACGCATTGTAATCATAGCCCTAATGTAGAATGTATTTGAATCTCAAATTTTAATAAGATGCTGTATCTCTGTGTTATTTGCTCGAAAACAAAAATGTAGAAGTTAGTTAATTGTTTTCAGAGTGATAAACAATAAGTTAAACGCTTCATAATTTTGGTATCTTAAACAAGGAATATTTTAGTTATAGTATTAAACTGTTTAAAAGTAATTTGGCAATTTTATTATCATATAAAAGTGAATGTTTATAAAATAATTGAGATAAATAGAATCACAGAGTAAATATCAATGTCTTATGTACTGGAGCAATCAAAAGCGTGATTCATTTTTCTTTGCTGAACTTACGCTTAAAGATTTTTTCAAGGCTTCAATACCTTCAAGGATTCGTTGTTGATGCATTATATCGTGAACACCAATTGCAATGAGTCTCCTTTTATCAACAGACAAGAGAAGTTGATTTCGATCAATTTTATTATTTTTGAAGTCACGCAAATAACGCCTATATTCCTCACCGAGAGACACAATCCAACAACAAACATCGTCACATGTTTCTAAGTTATTGTTTGAGTACGTGGCTATAAAAGAAAATAGTAATATGAAATAGTTCTCAACCTAGTCTTCAGAAAAATTCTTAAAACGTTATGCATCTCAACATTTTTTTGAGTATTTGAACTCCTTTTAATGTAACTTATGAAGGAACCTCCCGAGATAACCCCCTAGAATTTCAATGAATTTTTGACCATAGATACTCTACAATGCCCTAGTAAAAATCCTAAAAGGATTTGAGTGCATAGCGCTTCTTTCAAAATTTATGACCGTTTTACTGAATTTTGGACTATTCCTGGGTACATGTGTAAATCGAAAAAATCAAATTATGGAATTTCGACCTGAAATTTAGTCGAATGGTAGATCTAATGATCCTGAAAATATTCTGAAAGTTTCAACCAAAAAGAATGTTCCTTTTTCGAAATATTGAATGTTCAAAAAACTAGTCGCTCACGACAGATAGCTCACAAAAGTCGACTTCACTTGACAATTCAATATCTTGGCAAAAGAACATTCTTTTCACCTGAAACTTTCAGAATATTTTCAGGATCATTAGATCTACCATTCGACTAAATTTCAGATCGAAATTCCATCATTTGATTTTTTCGATTTACACATGTACCTAGGAATGGTCCAAAATTCAGTAAAACGGTCATAAATTTTGAAGGAAGCGCTACGCATTCAAATCCTTTTAGGGTTTTTACTAGGGTATTGTGTAGTATCTATGGCTAAAAATTCATTGAAATCTGCGGGAATCACCTCGGGAGGTTCCCTCGTCAGTTGAAAATAAAGCTCTTACATTTGGATACAGGCATGGAAACCATGATTTGAAGTGGTTTTTGATGGGTGGAAGACATTGAGTTACTTGAAACAGGTTGTAAATGAGAATTATTATTGTTATTAGAAGCATGCTGTGGTGTAGCAGGTGCAGTATGACGATGAGATGCTGTTGACCTTAGATTCGATTTGCTGAGCGTATTTGCTTCTAATGCAACCGTCACATGGGGGAATTCTGATGCAGATACTTGATTTTCTTCAGAAAATCTGCCAGAGATTCGTGGTGAATGAAATTTGGAAGTGGATGCGTGTGGGTTAGCTTTTGAATGTGTCTTTTTTAACACTTGGTTATCACTAGTAGGCGGTAGTCGATGGGTAGAAATAGTCGAAACCGAATCCTGCGATTTATTCGGATGCCAATTTGCTCCTTCGTACACAATCCATTTGCTCAGACACTCTATAAAATCTTTACCGTAAAGAGAATCCAACCATTTCGCAGGTAATTTTTTATAGCCATAGTAAGCGCCAGCTAGTTGGCCATAAATTGCCGCTGTTGTGTCAGTATCATCGCCGAGATTGACTGCAGAAAGAGCTCCATCTTCGAACGATTCCCTGTCATAGAAAAAGGCCCATAAAGCGGCTTCCAGAGCATTGACAACATATCCTGTGCCTCGAATACCTTGCTTGTACCCACCATCCCTTTTATAGGATCCTTGTGCGATAGTCATAATGTCGGAATGGAGCGGCTTATTATCGAACCATTCTTTATGCTTCGAATAAAAATTGTCGTCGAGCAGTTCATTTTTTTTCTCACCTTGGAGAGTGGCCACAATTAGAGCACCATAATAACGACAGGCATCATAAGCACGCTGATCATTGTGAGTAATTTGTCCACTACGTCCACAATAGTCAACGGCTTCCTTAGGATAGCGGTAGAAGAACAACGGAACAGGAGCGAGTCGCATTAAGGAACCGTTACCAGCCATATCATTTTCACCACATATGACATTGAACTTACCGGAAATTTCAGACGGTGTTAGAGAGTCTACTTTTTCTTGTGGAATCTTGTATCTGTTACAGAATTCCAATTGACGACGTTCGAATTCTATCAACGATCGTTTGGTGGACGCACCAATATCAAAACATTTGCCTACAGAAGACATATAACCGTTCTTAAACCACCATTTATATCGAACGAGTTGATCATAAGAAAAAAAATCTCGATGTGCCACCAATGAACTTCCTAGACATAGAGCCATCGATGTGTCATCGGTGAACTAAAATCAGGAGAGAAGTAGTTGATTGTAAGACTTTAAATAGATACAAAAGTTAGAGAACATTTTTCCAGCATTTTAGAATTATTTATTTCTGACATGCTGATTGCAGCAATCAGTGGCAACACATATATAATTATCGAAAAATGTTTTCCGTTTAGGTGCTTATCAACGAAACATCCTTATACATCAGAATATGTTTAATCAAATTACTCTTGATATCATCAACATTTTTAAAAGAATTACAATCCCGTATGTCTTATTATATATTATTGAAGCAATCTTTAAATGACACGAAAATAGTAAACTGCAACACTAAAATGATTTATATGACTTTGTACTTATATTTTGATGAACTTTTGTATTGTCTCACAAAATCAAAATACT